ACCTATTCTAGCCAGAGCCATTCTGGATTCTGGAAGTCAAAGTTCATTTATCACTGAGTCACTAGCTAAATCAATAGGATGTAAACGGCATCCTTCTAGTCTGCATATCTCGGGAATCCTTAATGAAAGTAATGTCATTAAGGAAAGAGTTACTATAGATATCTTTCCTCGCAATTCTTCGGCTACGCGGTTTACTCTTTCTTGTGCAGTAATACCTTCCATTACAAATTGCTTACCTCAGACAGCCATTGACATAAGACAATTCAAAATTCCCTCTCATATATTAAATAGGCTGGCCGACGAAGATTTCGGTAAACCAGCTGGCATTGATTTGCTCATAGGAGCTGATGCTTACTATGAGCTGTTGCTACCAGGACTTGAAAAGTTGGGGAAAGGATTGCCCTCTCTTATACAGACACAGCTAGGATGGGTTGTGTCTGGCTCTGTACCACTCAGTTATCTTCAACCCCAATTTCGACCTCACCCAAAATCGTACACATTTCACTCGACCCTTGGTTTTCAAGAAACTGAGGAATCACTTAATGATCCGCTAGATCGCTTTTTCCAACAGGAGCAAGAGCTTGACGTTTCTAAAAGTTCGGAACAGGATGAGCTTGCCGAAGCAATCTTTGTTTCGACCACTAAAATTCTGAAAGACGGCCGTTACCAGGTCGACCTCCCTCTCATTCACCCTTTAGCTCCCAAAGAATTGGGCGATTCATTTATGTGTGCTAAAAACAGACCCAATTTATCTCTTGCTGCGTCCTCTGCAGAGTTTAACAGTGCGTCAAAGGACATTCTTCCTGAAAAAGGGCCATGCAAGGTGCTAGGCATTAAGTGGGATCCAGCAACTGATGTATTCCATGTTGCCATTCCAGAGTCGCTTACTGTTAGTTCACCTACCAAACAAAAAATTCTCTCTGTCATAGCGCAGTGCTATGATCCTCTAGGTTTTGTCAATGCTGTAATTGTTCACGGAAAAATTCTAATGCAACAAATATGGGCCAAAAATCTCTCTTGGGACCACACTATAACTGATCCCGATCTTTTAGACAGTTGGTTTAAGTTCTTGTCAAGTTTAACAAACCTGTCCTCCTTCTCGATTCCTCGGTGCATAATAGATGTAAAAGACGTAGTACAAGTCGAGTTACATGGGTTTTGTGATGCCAGTACTCAGGCATATGGGTGTTGCATGTATTTAAGAGCAGAATACTCAGATTCATCTGTGTCATCTACACTTATTGCTGCAAAATCGCGTGTAGCTCCAGTGAAGAAGCCTCTCACTATGCCTAAACTAGAGTTTTGTGCAATGGTTCTCTTAACCAGTCTTTACACAAAGCTTTATCCCATAATATCTCGTTCTCTTACCATTTCTGACAGTATCTTGTGGTCAGACTCCATGGTAGCTCTCTCTTGGGCGCATTCACCTCCCAAAAAATGGTCCACCTTTGTGGCAAACAGGGTGGAAATAATCCAAAACACTAACCCTTCCCCAAAGTGGAAGCACATAAAGTCTGAACTCAATCCCGCAGACCTCTTATCTCGGGGCAAGCTTTCAGATCAGGCCAGATCCTTCTGGGCATCTGGACCATCATTTCTACTTGATCTATCTAGCGATTGGTTTAAACATAGCTCGTTTGAGCCTATGGTCAATTTCCCTGAAGAGAAGAAAAGAGTTAATGTATGTACCAAAACTCAGGAAAATTGTTGGATCAAATATATAAACCGATTCTCATCATTCACTAAACTCATAAAATCCATGGCGTACATACGTCGGTTTGTGTACAATGCCCGACATAAAGACCGCTTATCTGGTCCTTTGTCTCCTAAGGAATTGCAAGATTCCAGACTATTCCTAATAAGTCAAGTTCAAGCCATTTTCTTTAAGTCCGAAATACTATCTCTGACGCAAGGTCGATTGTTACTTAACAAGCAAATTGCTTCACTGAATCCCTTCATTGACAGGTCCACATTACTTAGAGTATGTGGTCGACTCAAGTATTCGGATGTACCCTTTGATCAACGACACCCCCTATTGCTCCCTGCGCGTAATCACTTCACGACACTGTTGCTCACCTCAGAGCATCAGCGTCTGGGACATGCAGGATCTCAAACCACCTTAAACAATGTCCGCTTAAGATATTGGCCCCTTGACGGACTTAGATGTGTAAAACGTATAATACACTCATGCAACACTTGCTTTAGGTTTAATGCCATCGCCTCAACCCAAATTATGGGAGATCTCCCTCGTGAACGAGTCACATTGAAAAGACCTTTTGAAAATACAGGAATAGATTTTGGAGGCCCCTTTTGCATAAAGTCCTCTTCCTTGAGAAGAGCCCCTACATCTAAAGGCTACATAGCATTATTTGTATGTTTAGCTACCAAAGCAGTCCATTTAGAAGCAGTGTCTGACCTCACGACAGACGCCTTCCTGGCTTGTCTTAAAAGATTCATAGCTAGACGTGGTATCCCATCCATTATTTACAGTGACAATGGAACTAATTTTGTCGGTGCCAATAACCATCTCACTCTTCTTAGAAAACATTTCTCAACACAGCCTCATGTGTTTCACGAGTTCCTTGCTTCTCAAAATGTCACTTGGAAATTTATTCCTCCCAGATCCTCACACTGGGGTGGATTATGGGAAACCTCAATTAAAAGTGCTAAGTCACTTTTGATTAAAATCACCGGTAACTCTGTATATACTTTTGAACAATTCTGCACTATTCTTGCTCAAGTAGAGGCCGTTCTTAACTCTCGCCCTCTATTCCCATTGTCTACTGATCCATTAGACCTACAGCCTCTTACTCCAGGACACTTCTTAATAGGTGCTCCCCTGTTATCTTATCCAGAGGTAGATGTTTCATGCACTCCAGATAATCGACTGAAGCGCTGGCAGCAATGTACTCGAGTTCAGCAACTCTTTTGGAAGCGTTGGACCTCGGATTATCTAAATCGGCTTCAAAACCGACCCAAATGGATTCACGTAACTCCTAATATTAAAGTCGGCGATTTAGTATTGGCTAAAAACCTTGACTACCCTCCCTTACAGTGGCCATTAGCTCGGGTGACCGAAGTTTATGAAGGAAAAGACCACAACGTTCGAGCAGTTCAAGTTCGCACGAAAAGTGGAACGTTTATTCGCCCTATCACTAAACTGATCCCCTTACCTCCAGATGAGACCTCAACGCATGTTCTTGATCCTTCTCCCACCTTATAGTAAAAATAGGGCTACAAGATACTAGACATTTCTCTGGGGGGCAGTATGGTTGTAAACTGATTTTGTTTACAACCCTGTAATTTTCAAAATAGTATATTTCCCCCTGTTCATTAACTTTACTCCACCCTGTAGGCCAAGACGTTCATTCATTCCAATACATTACAAATAAATTCTAACGGTACTGGATAATCTCTAACGGTACTCGGACCCTATGAACAATTACTTAGTACCCGATTTAGGCGACCGATGGTCGAAGAAATATAAAGACACTCTCTCTGTTAGCAACCCTCGCGGGAGAAGGATGTGTTGCGATTCTCAAAGCGTTCTCTCTCAAGTGTTTAACAATGAGAAAAGTTGTCTCCGCGATTGTGAAACATAATAACCTTGTGTAACATTTGTGTATATTGTATATTGTACCCGCTTTATAGTGTGTTTTTGTGTTAAGTATAGTACGTAGAAAAATAAATATTAGCTACAAGTTACTCGTATTCTTTACGTACAATAGACATCAAAATAATACAGTCCACTTAAAAACCCCAGAGAATACCGGCGATATAAGTTCATAGCAGATCAAAAGCACGTGGAATCGCCACTAATTCCACCCCCAACGCCGGCATTTTCTCCAAGATTCTTGATAAAAAGTTTAAATAGAGATAATAGAAATGTGATTTTACACGGAGATTCTGATTATAAAGTAAAGCCATTTTTAAGAAGTCCACTAAACAATCCAATTTCTATAATAAATTTCATATTAGAACCAGATATGGAACATAACTTTTTATGTATGGAAGAGAAGGTTTATTGTAGGTACTATTTCATCCAGTGGAAGTGGCTGTAAGGTTGAAAAAATTCAACTGTTCTAATCTACAGCAACATTCTACGAGTATAACCTAGCGAAAGATTAAAATTAAGACAATTCTGAAGATGAGATGCTAAATAAAGATATTACTGAAATTTTTGAAGTTAAAAATGTTTGAGCTAACCTTATATAATATTTTAGTGTTATGGAAAAACCTGAGAAAAATCATTATGTATTATGTTTTTATTCGTTATTGAATTTTTCTTTATTCCTGCCACCACAAATTGTATAATTAAAAGAGATATTAAAACAATATTGTGATTTCTTTGACAATTAATTAAATATTGGTGTGTTCCGAAATAAATTTTACATGTACCTTATTGATAAGTAACCGCAACATAATTTGACGTGAAAAACGGGTACATTTTATTTTATAAATAAATGTCTATCCTTAAGATAACTATCTGTCAGATAGGGCAATATTTATCTGGAGGTGAAAAGACCGGCCCTATTATATACCGATGCAAGTAGTTTATTATTTTAAAAATTTAATTTTTAATTCTTTTGAAAAATTTGTTAGTCCTAAAAAATTGGCTGTGAATTTGGTCATCGATAAAAAATATAATACAAAACTCGAGCTTTTTCAACAAATAAATTGCTAAACTAAAATTACGTTGGTTTTATACGTAGCTCGATTTCATAAGACGCCAAAAGTTCAGCGACTCTCCAAAAGTGACTTGATTTATTTGTTATGAAAGTTATACAGCAGATTAAAATATTAATCTGTTGTCATGATAGCCTTAAATGAGAGAAAGACAAAAAACAATTAAGTGGAGTGATCGCAGATGCAATTGATTGGATCCCTCGTTGCATGGTGACGCGCACAAACACTAGTTTATGATAATTCAGCAACTAAATCTCTGGCTCCTCCTACCAATTTGATATTAAAAATAAAAACCGTTTTCACTCAAACAAAAATCGGAGAAAATAATTTATTTTATAATTTTACAGTTTTTCGCAAATAAATGTCTGATAAAATTAAATTGTCATAAAACAAAAATTTTAAGAACAATGTATTTTTAATGATCATATGATCCAATTAAGGGCTACTTGTAATTTACTAAATTAATTATTTTACTTTTTCAATATTATCTGCTTAAATAACCAATACTCTGCAGTCAATCAACTTATGAATAACATTATATTTTAAAGTAACAAACGAGAAACTAATATATTACGGGTGACTGCTTAATGCACCAACATTTTTGTCTGTCAACGATTTCCTCGCTTTTTCACTAAATTATCTTCCAATCAAACGTAAAAATATTAACACTGTTCATACTATTTTTTATTATTGTCAAATTGATGTTTTACACAGCGTCCCAAAGGAAAATGCGAGAGTTTAAGATTTTCTGACAATAACAATTTGTTTGTCCCAATATTTTTAAGTAATTCACGAAGTTATTTCCAGCCTGCCGTTTTTTCTTCGATTCCTTAGGCTGATGGACTGTAGTCTATAAGTATTACCACTTTTTTTTGTAGAAATTGATACTTTTACTTTACATAATTAGTAAATAATAAAATTTCATCTCTATTTTGTATTTACAAATAATGGTCTATTCTATAACATCGTTAGATTGTTCTAGTACCGCTCCGCTGTACGCCAAATCCCAGTAGTGTTCCACTTTATGTTTTTTAAAATGTTCTCTTGCCATTTTTTCCATAGGACACACTTTAAATTTAAGTTCCCCAAAATTTCTTTGTTTAGCAGTACCTTCCCATACTAGATTACACTTGTTAGGTATTTCTTTACCATCCGGGTCTTTCACTAAATCTTCCTCCCACTTGATTCGGTTTAACATCAACCTGAAATTAAGCACTAGAATTACTTATTAGACCTGGATATGAAATCGGAGGTATCCAATGCAGAGTCCGATGCAATGTTCAGAGTCAGAATTCGGTCATGGTAACTCGAGTATTCAACATACCTGTTAAGCCAATTAAGTTAGTTTGAAAAATTAAAGGTAAATATCGAGCACAATTTTAATAATCAAATCTTGCCCAAGTACTTTTGCTTTCTACATCATAATCAGGGTCATTTCGTCAAATTTGGGCAATCCAGCAAGCACAGAATGTAATAAACATTAAATTGAACATAAATTGTACATAACACTACACTAAAACAAGGACAAATAGTTTAAAATTATTAAAAAAATATTCTACGCTCTACATTCTTGTCAGCAACAGGAGAGATAATGTAGAGCGAATGTAGAAAGAGAATTATTCTCTCTCCTGTTGCCGACAAGAATGTAGAGCGTAGAATAATTTTTAAGTAATTTTAAACTGTTTGTCCTTGTTTTAGTGTAGTGTTATGTACAATTTATGTTCAATTTCATGTTTACTATATTCTGCGCTTACTGGATAGCCCAAATTTGACGAAATGCCCCTGGTGATGCTGTAGAAAGCGAAAGTACTTGGGCAAGATTTAACTATTAAAATGTGCTCGATATTTGCCTTTAATTTTTCAAAGTTCATTTATTCGAGCATTCAACCTTATATCAATTAAGTTAGTTTTTTACTCGACACAACTATATAGTGTTTCAGTTGAAATATTTAGTATGAGATAGTACAAAAACCCTCTTATCTAGGGATTCATCTTTTTTTTAGTGGAACTATTTTTAAATAAAATATCAAAACTCCAAACTCATTATTTTGCTCATAACCAGATTTTACGTCAACAGATAACAGAAAAAAAAGAGAAACAAAATGAGATATGCTCAATTAAATCGGTTAATTAACAAAAAAAGTTATTGTAAAATAAACAATAAAATCGCTGTTTTTAACTAGTATTAATAACTTTTTTTATTGTTTATTAAAATTTCTTTAAATGTACATGAACTTAATGAGTCTTATCGTGTTCAAACTGTGTGCAAAAGATGGATCAGATCGGTTGAATCGTTTTTACGAAATGTATTTTTTGTTTATAAGATTTTTTAAAAAATGAGCTAATTTTTAAGGCTGAGATAATTTGACTGAATAGATCTCAATTATCAGGAGCTTATTTTCTTCGATATTTATTAATAAATAGCATCTTTTAAGCTTATACAAATTAACCGGTTCAACATCAACCTGGAATTAAACACTTACATAAACATTTACAATAATTCCGTAGAATTTAGTTCAAATTAAATAGCAAGAATATATTTGGAAAGCTGGCTAAAAAACAAAACTTTTAGAACAACAAACGAGCTCCTACGACCCTTAGGAGCTAGTGTAGCTTTTAAATCACTGTTACGTTAATAACATTAAAGGCTGATTTATAAACTTTGCGTTGGCGCTGACGTTCGCGTTACAACATGGTCAAATGGGAAACTCGTATGTCTATTTATAAACATCGTTCGTCGTTAGCGTTCGGTTCTGTTCAAGATAAACCAACTTTATCTTTTGCCGTTGACCGTTGTAGTCATCGAGCAAAAAGACAAAAGAGGGAATGTAAAGGTAGTGGGGGCAAACATATTGTTAGACAGGAAGTGCGATCTTTAGAGGCCACATTAAACAAGGAAAGAGGGTCTCTTTCCTTGTTTGACATCAAATTTAGTTGGGTTATGTTATTGTTTGTCCCAAATGTCACATGAAATCTTATTTATATTGATGTTTTTTAACAATTGTGTCGCATTTTAGACTCTTGTTATTAATAATTAATTAAAACTTTCTCGTCTAAGACACATTCTGAAAAATATTATATAGGTACTGTTGATAAGTGTCGGAAAATTTAAATTTGGCGCATTCGCATTTCCGGATATGTCCGCCATCAGAGGCCACTTTTTTGGTCTCCTTTTCATAAGGATTAGATTCCCTCTTTTGTCTTATTGCTCGATGGTTGTAGCACAGAATCATACAGTAGCATAGGTAAACAGTACTTATTTGAAGTTGTAAAATTTCTCTTTTTCCAAAGGGAAAGAGAAAGGAATGAGACAGTTGCAAAAGAGAAATTTTTTCCGTAAGGGGGATGGTGTGGTGTAATTCCCTAAATATTAGAATCCACATATATAAAATATTATAATTCATACCCGTGTAACATTTAACATTCTGTTTATATAAATATATTTAGTAATTTGAATCGAGGACATTCATAAATAACATACTCTAATTAGAATTGGTAGTCAGCACTATTGCCGATCACCACATGCTTGGCGTAGGTCATGAACAAACTTGACATACTAATAAGTAAACATTTGCTGATATAGCAAGGACTATTATAAAAGCCCCAACAATCATTCTCTCAAAGATCTTAATTAATGTACCGTCAAAATGGCAAGTTAATGCCGCATATAGTCAGCGTCAATTAAGTACTGATATATTTAAGATTAAGTAACATTAAAGATTGTACAAGCAGTGATTAATAAATGGGTAACTAAGTTAACAACATATTGTTTACCACCCCACAACATTATTTATTACAGCGGGACGTTTTTGTTATTTAAACCCTAAAAGAGGTAAGTTTAAAATTTAGAATATATAATTTTGTATTAAAATGGTTTCTTATGTATTTTAATGTGTTGCAGTAGTCTTAAAACTAAGGGTATTTACTGTTAATATAATAGTTTGACAAATAGTTGACTTTTAAAAAATTCCTCACTTACTAACTATTCTGATGTTATGCCAACGCTGTGGAGTTCTAAAGACGTAAACCTTGAATGACGTGCAAGCTTGTTTATCTGAAAAATGCTATAGCCTAACATTCTAACAATAGTCACTTAGGTAAACTAACGAATGTGACTTTTTCAGTAACTATGATTGCTTATTTTCATTATTAACATTTTTAGACATTCTTTAAAAGTTTTCAGATCAGGTGTGTAAAGACAAATAACATTACAAACAAATTTTTAGTCGAAGCCTCAAGTGTTTTTGCTATTAGCAAATACACTCACATTAGCTCTCCTGAAAAATATCGATTATGCACATTCGCTACTTTAAGTAGCGTTAAAAAAATACTTTAATAATTAAGTTTTAAAAATATTTTTTTAATACTAAAAACTGATTGGTTCAAATTTAATAAGTATTATTAATTTAATAATGACTATATGGAAAAATTTATTACAAATAACAATCTAATACTGTTTATAAATGATATTTATTTAATATAATTATATTTTAAATAAAAAAATAACAATAACAGACGACTTAAGAAAAGGTTTGTATATCTTGTAGTTATTAGCTGTTTTGCTTTGGATAATTTTGCAATGAAAATACGATAAATGATATTATTTAAACGTTGTACCCCAATTTTAAAAAAGAAAGGGATCAAATTTAGCCCTGATTCTGTGCTACAACCATCGAGCAATAAGACAAAAGAGGGAATGTAAAGGTAGTGGGGGCAAACATATTGATAGACAGGAAGTGCTATTTTGAGAGGCCACTTTAAACAAGGAAAGAGAATCTCTTTCCTTGTTTAAGAAATCAAATTTAGTTGGGTTATGTTATTGTTGATGTTATTGTTTGTCAAAACTGTCACATGAAAGCTTATTTATATTTTCTATTAAAGTTTTTTAACATTGTTTAACATTTTAGACTATTATCGTTATTAATTAATTAAAACTTTATTGTGTTCTAGTGTTAAAAAAAGTATTTTAATAAATAAATAGATAAATTAGAACCCCTACACCACTGTATGATTATTGTCAAGTGTCATGAAATTTAAATTTGGCGCATTTGCATTTCCGGATATGTCCGCCATCAGAGGCCACTTTTTTGGTCTCCTTTTCATAACGATTAGATTCCCTCTTTTGTCTTATTGCTCGATGCACAGAATACACCAACCCTTCTGCGGTTGTAGTCACGATCACAGAACATAAAAAAACTGTATCTTTGTCATCGCAGCCAATAGCGATACCGAAAAAGTGACAAGGATTGTCAAACAAATCAAACTAAATTATTTGTTTATGTTTCCACGTGTTTATAAAGTGAAATAGTTTAGATAATTTAATTTATATTCCCTATATATTAAAAATTCCATCAGAGCGATAGTTTACATTTATTTTTGGTTTTATCATCGCAGTAATTTTGCAATTACTGGAACCTACATCCTGGTATATTTAAAAAACTGCAATATATCCCAGTTTTTTATATTTGTATAATAATTAAAATTACCTCTTGTCTTTCTGTTTTGGTTAATGGGCCTCCGATTGTATCGGCGTTGTCTTTTATTTCGAAGGCTCAGTGCTGCTCGTATACAAAGTATCGTGTAGAAATGCCACTGCACCTAACAAAGGCCGAGCATTCATTTTGAATTGAATTAATTTTCAAGCAAAAATTAATAATACCAAATCAAAAATGTAAGGTTAGAAATTTAGATGTGATCTTTAACGCCAAAGCCAACCGAAAGTTTATAAATGCAGTATATGATAGCCAGCGCCAAGGTCAACGGCAAACGCCAGCACCAACGCCAACGTAAAGTTTATAAATCAGCCTTAAGGGCCGAAATTAACCAATCTTTTATGAGAAAAGTCTAAAATTTTAACAAACAAAATTATTGAAATTTGTTTAAACAGCAATGTTGTAAACAAAGAGTCCTTTGCTTTCGACTAGATTAAAATGAGTGGGGGACCAAATGAAGGACGAGCCGCGCTCCCCAAAAAATAAAACAGGGTTTCAAAATAGAGCGCCCGGAAAAAAATTATATATCTCGGGTTCTGCTGGGCTAAATTTGATCCCTTTCTTTTTTAAAATTGGGGTACAACGTTTAAATAATATCATTTATCGTATTTTCATTGCAAAATTATCCAAAGCAAAACAGCTAATAACTACAAGATATACAAACCTTTTCTTAAGTCGTCTGTTATTGTTATTTTTTTATTTAAAATATA